TTTTATTTAAATATAATCAAGTTCTTTCTGTCAAGTTTAGTTGGTGTCTGCAGAGCTGACTGAGACTTCTTTCTCAGAGTTCCTCTTTTTCTACTATCACTTTTTGGGAGGCACAGATTACCCCACAGGCACAGGGAATTCTTTTCCTTAGAAAATATGAAATGTAGAGGGTTCTGGAGCCGGCTTTTAGCAAGGATCATCTCATTTAGAAGCATAACAATTTTCAGCTGCAAGAAGCTTGAGTTTGACAGTGAATTTGGGAATCTCTCTACTTCTTCCAAATTACTCAAAAGCAACAACAACAACAAAAATAAACAGAAAAAACAAGCTCCTTCTTTAATGGAGCTTAGAGGCATCCTTACCTTTTATTAGAAAGCCTATAAAAGGTCGACTGGGGGTGTGGGGCAATGTTAAGAGCAGTCATGCCCTAATCAGTTTGACTCAGTGGATAGAGTGTCAGCCTACAGACTGAAGGGTCCCAGGTTCTATTCTGCTCAAAGGCATGTACCTTGGTTGTGGGCACATCCCCAGTAGGGGGTGTGCAGGAGGCAGCTGATCTATGTTTCTCTCTCTCTTCCTCTCTGTAAAAAATCAATAGAATATATATTCATGGCTAAGGGCTTCCCTTGACTTCATGATATCAATTCTACAGAAGCTTGGACCACTGGGTTGAAGGAGAAATTATAGAGAAAAGCCATGTTTACCAGAAGTACTCAGTGAGACAGAGATGACAGATAAGCTGAAAATTTTTAAGAAGGGAAAAAATAAAATCATCATAAAAATGAAAGATATAGTAGAAGTAGCATACATGAAGATAGGCAGGATACAATACAATCCTATCTAATAAAAGAGTAATATGTAAGTTGATCATCACACCAAGACACAAGATGGCTACCCCCATGTGGACATAAGATGGCTGCCATAAGATGGCCAGCAGGCGAGGGCAGTTGTGGGAAATTAGAGGTGACCAGGCCAGCAGAGGAGGGCAGTTGGAGGGGGACCCAGGCCTGCAAGGGAGGGAAGTTGGGGGAGACCAGGACAGCAGGGGAGGGCAGTTGGGGGAACCAGGCCTGCAGGGGAGAGCAGTTGGAGGGACCAGGCCTGCAGTGGAGGGCAGGTGGGGGGGATCCAGGCCTGCAGGGGAGGGTAGTTGGGGGGACCAGGCATGCAGGGGAAGGAAGTTTGGGGGGCAGACCTGCAGGGGAGAAAGTTGAGGGGGAAAGGCCTGCAGGGGAGGACAGTTGGGGGGGACCAGGCCAGCAGGAGAGGGCAGTTTAGGGGAACCAGGCCTGCAGGGGAGGGCAGTTGGGAATCAGCAGTCCTGAGTTGTGAAAGGGATGTATGACTGCCCAAGATTGGGCTGATCTGGGATTGGGCCTAAACGGGAGGTCGGACATCCCTCAAGGGGTCCCAGATTGGAGAGGGTGTAGGCTGCACTGAAGGACACCACCACCCTGTGCACAAATTTCGTGCACTGGGCCTCCAGTATGAGAATAAGAGAGAAGCCAAAAGTAGAAATGGATGAAAATTCAAAAGGAATAGAGGAAAAAATGGTAGCTCTGGAAGACAGGCAAAGAAGACTCAGTGGGCATCTAATTGGTATCTTTGAAGAAGGAACCCCAAAAACATATTTCAGGATATAATTCAAGAAAATTATTCGGAGATAAAAGAAGACTTAAATGTGCAAATTGAATGGCCTTCCTGTGTGCCAGAAAAATTCACACAGATAGACCTACAGAACAATCAATAGCAAGTTATTGGATTTAAAAGATTGAAAAAAAAAAAAAATCTGGGTCATCCAAACACAACGAAGGCCAACTATAAGCCAAAACCAATCACGCTGGCCTCCAACTCTTTCCCATGAACGTTCCATTGTAGGAACAGAGGGACAATGTTTACAAAGACATTAAGAAAATGAAGTCATGTCTAAGAGTGTTACAGCTAGTCAGTATAAACACAAAGAAAATAGGAAACAGCTGAGAACATGAAATAACTCAAAAAACATAATTTCCATGGCTCCCCTTGAAGAAGCTACAAGAAGACAAATTGACAACAGAGAGATTAATAGAAAACTATGGCAAAAAAAAATGGTGGTGAGTATTGACTGTTTAATTGTGATCCTATCAAGGTAGTGAAGAGGATCAAAACATGGCACCCCAAATATGTCACACCGGGATAAGGATTATTTTGAGCTAAAGGCGACTGAGAAACAGAAAATGCAGAAAGAGCTCTCTGTCGTCTTCCTATCACCTAACAGCAGGATGGGCATGTCCTTTCTGAAGGTTTGGCCCTCCACTCTCCCGCATCCTCACTAAGACAGGAAGCTGCCCTGAGATAATCTGCAAAACAAACCCTCCCAAAGTCACCTGCCTCTTCCATTACTTCCCAATATGCTTACCTTCCCATGGTTTACCACCACCCCACCACCCCACTCAGAGCCCAACCTCCTTTCCTTTGTCTTGTCACTTCCCAAGAGAGTATATAAGCCCCACATTCTAGCTGCCTCTTTGAGTTACTGGTCACCGGGGGCTCTGCGTGTGTAAAGAAGCTGTTTTTATCTCCCCCCCCCCCCCCCGCCCCGTTAAGCCATGTTCTGGTAGTTCACTTCACAGGCCTTTGGTGCTGAACTTAAGGGGTAGAGGAAGGTGTTTTTTGGTTGTGTGCGTGTTTTTAACTCTCCTATCGTTCTAGTGACTTAACTAGCAAAAGCTGGGAGGAGAAGGGGAACATGATAAAAGAGAAAATAAGCCACTCATATCTTACTGTGGAGGTCAAAAGACTACAATTGAAACTTGTAAACCAAGTAACAGAGCTATCGGTAGGTGTAAAGACATAAGGATACACATCAACACAGGTAACATAATCCACTTCAGCTCAAACAGTCAGATCTGGTTCCCTTTTTTTTTTTTTTTTTTTTTTTTTTTTTAATGATACTGAGTACTCCAAGTTCTGAACACTTGGAAAGGTATGTCATATTCACGAAAAGGAAGACAGAATATTATAATGATTTCATTCTTAAGTTAACACAATCACAATAAGAATTATCAGCAGGATATTGTGCAAATTGGACAGGCTGACTCTAAAGTTCAAATAAATAAACAAGGGAGAAAAAATGGAAAAATTATGCGAAATATGAGTCCTAAAGTAAGGACATAAGGGTGTTTATATCTTATGTGTTTTATTTTCTTTTAAACTGTAATAATTAAAATAATGTGGATCTACAGCATCGAAAGCCTAAAAATGTATCTAAATAGATATAATAATTTAGTAAATAATAAAAGTGGTATTTTAAATCAGTAGAAAAGATGCCCAAGAATATAATCATCTGGAAAAAAAATAAATTAGAATCCCCACCTCACATGTTGCATCAAAACATATTCTATGCGGATCAAATATCTTCAGGTAAAAAGTTAAAACCACAAAAATACCTGAAGTCAAAAAATTTGTAAAGTTGACTGATTACACAAAGATAAAAGTGTTGGGAAAAACATTAAACATTTAATAAACATTAAAGAGTCACGCAACACACTGGCGGTGGAAGGGGGTAAGGGGAAATTCAGTTCAGACCACAGACGATGGACTGATTTTCTTAAAAGAATGTATTGATTCTTAAAAGAATTCCTCTTGCCAAAACCAGTTTGGCTCAGCAAATAGAGCGTCGGCCTGCGGACTGAAAGGTCCCAGGTTCGATCCCGGTCAAGGGCATGTACCTTGGTTGTGGGCACATCCCCAGTAGGGGTTGTGAAAGAGACAGCTGATTGATGTTTCTCTCTCATCGATGTTTTCAACTCTCTATCCCTCTCTCTTTCTCTCTGTAAAAACTCAATAAAATACATTAAAAAAAAATCTTCCTCATTCCAACCTATAACCACCATACTTTCTCTTAAAAAAAAAAAAAAAAAAGGAATTCCTTTTAATATATAGGGCTTTTTCCTATATATTAAAAGGAATTCCTTTTTCCTATATATTAAAAGGCAAATATATATTGGGTCTTAAGCATAAAGAACACTAAAAGTAAAGAGATGGCCAAGTTCATTCATGGTAAAGAATGCAAAGCAAAACTGCACTGTGATGCCATTTTCACCCATCTGGGCAAGGTAAGAACCACTGGCGACAAGCACACTGCTGGAAAATTAAGGAGAATGGGCATTCTCAGAATGTAAACTGGTACACGTTCCATCAAAATCAGTTTGCTAATAGTTGAACAATTATAGAATGCACTTTTTCTTTAGCCAGACAGTGCTACAGACATGCACAGTTAAAATGCCATGTATGCAAGGTTGCTTGCTGTAATAGCTCATAGTGGCATAGACTCCCTTTCCACCAAAATGATAAACGAAGTCAACCATATAATGGAATATAATATAACCATCAAAAAGTCAGACTTTGGGAATCAGGGTGCCATGCAATTTTGCAGAATTTACTGCTTCCAAGAAAACTGTATAGAGAACTATAATCATTGATTGTCATCACCACATATTATAAAACTCCTTGCTCCTCATTCTTCCAATCTTGTACACATCAGAAATCTAAAAACTGGATAATCAAAAGTGGTCAACCAGATGGAAAACAGAGAACTATAACCTGTTGGGAGTTGAAGAATACTGTTCAAATGTCACATCCAATGTCAAAATGCAAAACATATTGTAAAGTAGCACAAACGGAACAGTATAGCCTCAGAAGCCACCTGAAACACGCATCGCCTGCGAGGAAAACCTGCAGAAACGAGTCAGAGATTATTTTCCAAATATGCTGTCTCCCTGCTTTCTCCAGCTCAAAGCACAAGTGTCCTTTGGAAATTGTGCCAACAGTTTGCTTTCAATATAGCAAAAACACTCTTCCTCCTCAACCAAGAAAATTATAAAATTCCCTCCGTTACTGAATCTACTTTGTTCTATCCTATCCTCATAGTATATTTGGATGATCTAATTCTCCTCACTAAGCACACACACACAGTACAGAATTATAGAAATAAAGAGAAATGTCTAATGAATGCTTACCTGATAACGTGTTGGCTGATTGAGAATGCTGTTAAAACTGTGTGATTCAAAAACTCTGGAGTTAGACTGAGTGAAGAGGTTTAACTAGGAAAAAATACAATTAACCTAGTAAATTAGAATACATTCACTTGGAAATAACAAATATAATCTACTTTATTCTCCTTGATAATATTTCTGGAGTCAGCACTTCTGAGGGACATTTTGTGGAAGATGAGTGAGTGTAGACGGGGTTTAATATATCTCCGAAGGTCAAAGTGAATGGGAGCAACATACTCACATCACTGACGTGCTGGCAGCATGCACTGTCACAAGCTGATTAATTGAAAACAGTCTTTTATAAATGAGCTCGCTAAGCATTTCTGATCCTGGGGACCATGTACCCTTATCAACATATATCCAGGGCGCCTAGAAGGCAAAGCTGCACAGAAGCGATTCTACCTGCTCCGAGCCTGGCTCCTCTCTCAGCAGCCTCCCCAGGACTGCTGCTCTTCCTGCCAGCACCCCCCAGGGAGCATGCCTGCCCCTCACAGTCCTGGGCACACCGTGCTTCCCCCCTCCCCCCCCCACAGGGTCCAGGTAGCCGTGGCACCTGAATGCCCTCTCCGCTAGCATCTTCCCTTCTACACCAAGACACCATCAGGCAGGAAGTCGGGATCCGCTGCCTACAGAAAGACAATGCTAGGGTGTGAAGTGTAAGCCTCTCCCATCCTGGAGAGGCTTTCTTTGAAAAGAATAAAGAATCAGTTACTAAATGCCCAGAGAAGCAAAGTCAGTTTCAGCAGTAGCAGAATTTGCCCAAGATGGCAAGTAGTGGCTGGCCCCTTGAAGAGAGCAGCACCCTGCAGCTGGAGGTGCAGCTGGCGGGGAGGTGGGCAGGAGCCAGGCCAGAGCGCAGCAGTGAGTGGTGGTGCCAGGTGCAGCAGGAAGAGCAAGGCATCTGGTGCTGCTTTCAGTCCCACACCTGCCCCGCTAGGCCGGCACCGTGCCCTCGCACAAGTGAGTGACTTTAGTGGCTTCAGCTGTCTCAGCTACAAAGTGGGAACAATAGCTATACCTACCTCACAGTGCTGCATGAGGGTCAAATGTACAGCAAAGCACTTGGCAAACTGTGGATTAAGAAGGGCACTGCTATTTGTCGAGGCAGAACTTTGTCCGCTTCGTGTCATTCTCACGAGAACCCCACGAAGCTGCCTCTTTCGGTGTGATACTCAGGGCTCAGAGCGATAGAACACTTTAGCCAGGGGACTCGCTAATAGGCCGTAAGCTTGGAACTCAAACCCAGGTCAGACGCCCGGGCACTCCTCCTGACAGTAAACTGCTCTCGGTGGGCACGCACGGGGTATTGTTTGAAACTGTGGGATGCTGCAATCCATCACTGCCTTGCAGACGCATGGCCTTAACTGCCCACACCCAGGAAGGCTTAAAGGCCACCTTCTTACAAAATGAGCTGCCAGGGGGTTACAAGATTTGGAAAGCACCTCTGTCTTCAAAGGTGAGAAGTGAAATCACACAAATCCAGCCGTTGGCCAGAGTCAGGGAGAACCAGGTCCAGGTCAGATCCAAGGCCTGGATTTCCTGGAGATAACAGTACTGTCTTGCAGCTCCCAGCTACAGGCCATTTTTACAACCTCAGGCAGAAATGTTACCCCCACGCCTTTCCTCCGACCTGCCTTGCTCACTATTATTTGCGGTTCTGCCCATGTCTTCCTGTGTCCTATGCCAATTCTGTCTCTGAAAACTGAGTTCATGGTAATAAACTGTTATCATGAATCTCATCTCTGTTGATGAGTTTGACTCGACCGGGGCCACTCAAGGATACACTGTGCTTGATTATTTCTAAAAGGGACATTTATGGTTAATACTTGAGGACGCTCTTAAGCTTGCATCGATTTTATAACATTGAAGGAAAAAGGAGTCTTTAGCCCAATAAAGGTTCTGTATAAACAAGAAGACTATGGTGGTGTTGAACATCCATACAACCATTAGGAAAATGTGCAGTTAAAACTCTTCAACTTTGGAAGAACAGTTGAGAAACATGGAACGCAAGAAACCAAGTGTTCTGTTCACTTTTAAAGAGTTAAGGAATTTCTTGTTTGATTTTAATCGGGTAGCTTACGTGAAATTATGACCCAAAGCAAGGCATAGATTATGTGGCCTCGTGACTCATAAGGAAAGTATTCATCATTTGTCTATGAAAGACTGTGGAATGGACAATACTTTTGACATCTTCTAAGTTCACAGAGAAAAATGAGTGGACACACATCGAAAGACCAGGAGAAAGACACCACGTTCCCCGTGTCGGATACCTACCCTGGACTTTGAGTTCCCCAGTCCCATTTCTATATCTTTCTGGAGCCTCCTTCTTCTGCATTTGGAAAAGTTAACAATCCGCATGATGAAATAAACAAATGACTTTGGACTGGGAACTAGACTGAAGGGTGGAGGTAATGTTTTTCCATCATCAAAATAAGATAACCAAAGTTTTGAGCGAGCAAACTTCCATTCGACATCGCTGTCATCCTGTGTCACAAGATATAAAAGGCAGAACTCATTTTAAAAACTAAAAATTCTAGTAATTGATTCTACAGGGTATTACAATGAACCTAAATTGTGCTTTTGAAACAGATGTGATTTATATACAATTATTTGCTTATAATCTCTATTGTTCTACATAATATCCTATCAACTTCCTTGATACTCATTTTTAATTTTATTTTTCTCTTTCATGTGCTTCTGGTACCCATTGAAACTTAACAAGGATTCCTGACCCTCACCCAAGACACAAAGAAAAGCACAAGAAAAAGTCAGGGTCAAGGAAGGATGGGAAGATTATCTTCTATCCCTGCCAATTCTGTATATCCATCAATAGTTCCCCACTCTCTAGCCACCCTCCCTCCCATCCAATAAGTTGTAGATATAGCATACTATATCCCCAGGGCAAAGGGGGAAAAACAGTACTCAGATGAAATTGCGCTTTGCTGTTTATGTGTCTTGCCATATGTCCTCAAATGCCACACAAGGACCTCAGCGGCCTATTCCTGCTTTTTATCTCCTTTGGACCAGAGAGCTGCCCCCTGGTGATGGGTGTGACCATCCTACTGGGAGAAATGATGGAGAGGAGTGGAAGAAGTTGGCTCCCTTGGTTCACACTCGCTAAACTAGCAGGAATGCAAAGTACCATAGTTCTCCTAAGTGAAGGGCCTCGCTTCGGCTTTAATAACACTATCTGTGTGTCTCGATAAAGCACACAGAGAGACTCAATGGACTTAACAAACAGCAAAACCCTAAGAAGCTACTGAACACTAAACCGGAGGACATAGAAAACATACAACCGTGAAGAAAGGTTCCAACCAGCTCAATCCAAAACCCAAAGTAAAATGATTTCCACAACAGTAAAAGTTCCAACTGGATAAAGAACATCATAAATGTTTGCCAGATGCCTAGCAATCCCCCTCCAGGACCTTTCACAGCTGGCTGGCTAATGGGGAGAGAGCAACCTCCCAAAGCCTAGCACTTCCTCCAGCCGCCAATTTCAAATGTCTGAAATAGACCCCGAAAGTGATGATAAAGCCGCGGGGAGCCCCGCTGTGCCCCTAGAAGACGCTGGAAGGCATAGGCTATCGGGGTGGAAAACCCAGAGGAAGGCCTGGGCACACCCCACCTCTCGCTTCCAGGAGCTGGACCACCCACAGGGCACGACACAGATGTGCTGTGTTATTAGAACGACGGCAAGAACAGACCCACGGGTAGGAGTCTGCTTACCTCAATTTCTTGATATGAGCTGTTAATCATAGCAATTAACATGTTGAGCAAAACGACCACCATAGTCACATTGTATATTCCATAAAGCACGTATCCAATATTCTCTATGAACTTGTGATCATATTTGAGCACAACTGAAGTCACTTCAGACAACCCGAATATGGACCAAAACAGAGTCTTGAAGCTTTCTTCCACACTGTCGAAAGAATGAGGCACACAGTCAGCAAGCTAACAGTTTTCCGTGTTAAAAAGTCAGAAGTAAAAACAAGTATGGGTCTGGCCACTGTACCAACATCAATGTCATCATAAAATGCCATCATAAACCCCAGAATGGAATTATCTACATAGATAAAACCCTAAGTGACCATTCGACCATTCAGTATTCGACTGGTTGCTATGACACTCACTGACCACCAGGGGGCAGACACTCAATTTAGGAATTGTCCCCTGGTGGTCAGTGCACTCCCACAGCGGAGCACCGCTTAGCTGACTGATGGGTGCCAGACACAGCACTTTTGACTAGCAAGCACAGCAGGGCAACCAAGCGGCCACAGCTGCCGGCAGGCACAGCTGGGGGGGGGGGGGGTGCGGACGATGACTGGGATGAACCGGATTGGTGAGGCACCTGGCCCAACTTGGGCTCCTCCCCCCCACCTGTCACTTTGTACACTACTACATCCCTGGGGGTATGTCAGACTGCCGATTTCAGCCGATCCCAGAGGGTCCCAGGTTGTGAGAGGGCACGGCCAGACTGAGGACCCCACTAGGCTGAGGCTGCGGGCCCTGGATTCGTGCACCAGGCCTCTAGTTTTACTATAATGTTTAACGTAAGTTATTCTCAGGTTTTCAGGAGTGTGTGGTTACTTTGTGTTGATGCCTAGCCACTCTGTAAGTTGTCCAGGAAAAAGTCTCCAGAATAGACTTTTTTTGGGGAAAGAAGTTCTACCACGATGCCCATTCCTGTCTCCTAGAAGGATAGAAGTTTGGGGTGTGATCTTGTAGGTGGTTTAGAATCTCAATCGGGTTTTCTGAAGTAGAACAAGGTCGGGATTAAAAAGTATATGCCCACTTCCAGAAAACTATGCACAGGCATCTTCCTTACAGCGAGGCAGCGGGGCAGAAAGAGCACCCTGGCACCCACCCAGAGGGCGTGAGTAAACAGTTCTGTACATTCATAGGGGAAACACTATGACACAGATCTATCCTCCTGCTTCTATGTAAAATGATATATTCTTAAGTAAAAAAAGAAAGAAATAGCAAATGTGAAATAGTCTACAATTTGAGTAAAAAAGAGGGGTATTCGAACGCTTATCTTCTTGTTTATGCAAAAAATCTCCGACAGAAACCCCTGCCCCTGGGAACTGGGGTACACTCAGAGCTGCGGTCCCAGGCGAGGGGTCAGGCTTTCACAGCTGACACTGCTCCCATGAGCCATGTCACAGGGACTAGCACCTGCCAGGAGGTATGCTTGGCTGCAGACGAAGAGGAGGCAACAGAAGGAGAGATTCCTCTTCTTTTCCCTCAATTTAAATAATCTACTTCCTGACTCCTGGTCCCATGCGGCAGTTAGCACATAGCCTCCCCTCACCTCCAAGACGAAGGCCCAGTTTACTCTTAAATGGGCTTTGCCAGCTCAATATAGCTGGTCTCAGCATATGACCCAACTGTAACTGCGGGTCTGTGAGCAACAAGAATAACCCTTGAAGAACTACACACGTAGGCTTGCACCACAGAGGAGAGGTCGAGAGCGAGTCCTGCGTGGACTGAGCTTGTTTTCATTGCTGCAGTGCTATCCCAGCGCACCCTTGCTTCTGAGGCTATGAATTCTGTATTTCCTTTGGACCATAGCGTTTGTGTTACTCTGTACAACTTATTCTGGGAAACTGCAAATAGCAATATGGAGGTGAATAAAATTCTTTCTTAAAAAAAAAAAAAAAAATGAGACCTTTGTCCAAAGAGAGGTTTATGAAAACTTTTTAAAATATCTTATAACAGATTCTTAATAACAATTCTGTAGATTTATAGGTTTTAGTACTAGCTCATTCATTCATTCACTCAATCAATTAATCGCTGGAGCACCTATTATGTTCTAAACGTTGTGCTGGGCCCTGGGGGTGGGGGCAGAATAAAAATCCTGTTCCTACAGAGGTACCCTCTTACAGAACATTTGACCATGTGCTGTCACAGTGCGGGTGCTAGGAGACAGAAAACTACAATCCCCTTGTTCAGCCATTAATTTTACAGCCTTCTTCCTCTTGCTCCTTACAACCCCCCTCCCCCTCTTCATTCTCTCTGACTGTGTGAATCTACCTGGTGGGGAGGGGACAGGGAGATGAGAGGGTGCCAGTGGGTCCTAGCTTCCATTGTGGGTGAGAGGCTTTCTATAAATTACCAACATAACCGACAACCTTTTTGTGTTTATTTTTAAAACTAGAGGCCCAGTGAACATGACATTGTGCATGGTTAGGGTGCCTAGGCCTAGGATGGCCTCCGTCGCATGGCCTCTGCCACCCTGTGACACTGTGTGAAGCTCCCGCCCCAGGATGCTCTGCGAGGCTCCCCCTGCCCCTCGATTGCTTCATGAAGTTTGCTGCCTCCCCACGAAGCTCACCACTGCCAGCTCCGCAAAACTCCCCTGCCCTGTCACTGCTCCGCGAGGCTCCCCGAACCCACAACTGCTCCTCAAAACTCCCTGCCCCAGACTGCTTCGTGAAACTCACTGCCGCCTGGGTGACTGCTCTGCTAAGCTCACGGCACCCCGTGAAGCAGCCCTCCACCGGCTCGGGGATCGAGAGGTGCTCCATGCCCTTATGGTGACCGGTCGCCCATTCCGTCATGACGCCACTGAGCTCGTTATATATATTAGGAAAATGAAACTAACTTGGCCAGAGGCCATGGCTGCAGGCCAGCAGGCTGCACTGGCAGACAGGCAGCCAGGCCGCCTGGTTTCCGAGCCGTGTTCTCCCACGGAGCTCAGGTGCCTGTCCTCACACAGCCGAGGAGAAAACCTCAGGGCCGAAGCTCCTTCGGAGCTCCAGGATCCCTGTGCACCTCCCACTGGGTTCAGACAGACATTTTCTTCATTGAAAGCAAGAGCTTCAGGTCTCGTTCACCTGAGACCTGCTCTGTATTGACGACTTGAAGGAATTTATTTTTGAACAACATGATGCCTGGCAGGGCGTGAGGCTTCATCTTTCTCCAGAGGGAACGTGCTGACCGTCCAGCCGGTGTCCAGTGGGACATGCAGGACACAAAGGGAGGTGGAGGGCATGGCCTCCCACCTGCAAGGCCTGCAGTCCAGAGGGAGGGCCGCCCCTATGACAGCCAAACCCCATGGGTGACAGTGAATCTCACACCTGGATGTCTCCAATTGATAGAACTTAAAAGGACAAAGACTAAAGGAGCCCAATCAAGAAAGACTTCCTGGAAGAGGTGAATCTGCACTGTGGAAACCAGTCTGACCAGAGGAAGGACATACTGTTACCTTTCTAGGGGGCCGTACACATTGAGCTATTATTTCTCTTATTTGACTCCCTCTACTTTTTTGAAATAATAATAATGACCACAAAATAATGAAACTAAATTTAAAGTCATACATAATGTAAGAGACATCCAGTATTGAAATTTTACTACTCATCTATCTCAAAATAACCCATTTTGTCTAGGATTTTTCCAAATTCTGATTCATCCTGTGGTCAACTGCTCACTAAACTCAGAGCAGAATCTGAAGCAATGTCAGTACATAAGGGCACTGTTTTCAATGGAGTTTTTCTTCTCTTAAAAACATCGTTATTACAATCACTGAAAGTTTTCTTTTGCTTCATCTAGACGTGTTAGACTTTCTCTTCATCCTGTCATGTCTACAAGAAACCTTACTTACGTGGTAAAAGCAGCATTTACTTTAGCCCCAAGGTAGTAAGAGTATAGGATGAACATGCCAATCATAAAGGCGAGAAACACCATAATGAAGAGGACCATGAACTTGAAGATGTCTTTCACGGTCCTGCCCAGGGAGATCTGCAAGGGGCCGAAGCTCTCGTTGGCAGGGAGTATGTAGGCAATCCGGGAGAAGCTGAGCACCACGGCGATGGCATAGAGCCCTTCCGAAATGATCTGAGGGTCGGAGGGAAGCCACTTATCTCTGGCTGGAAACGGAGAGGGAGGTTAAAAACGGGCCTTTCCATTCATTGCTAACTATGCAAAGCCAATACCTCCACTAGGCGCTACCTTGTAGGTAAGTGGCTAATGTCTCCATTGGAACTATTCTAGACTTAATGAACAGTCTGGGCTCTAGTTGACCCGTTAAAGCAGAAAAATACGAATCTTTCACTTATGTGAATTATTCCACTGGAGAAAACACTATTATGGAGACACTAAGCTGACTTCGCATTGAGCAGAAACAGAAGAAAGTGTGAAAGATGGAGGTTAATGCTTCATGAGACACAGGCAGTCAAGATGACAAAATGACAGGCCTGACTGACGGTTTATCAGCCAACAAGTCTGTCATCCTATAAACTTGAGGCACAAAACTTTTGTATACCATGGGAATTAGTTCATCTCACAGTTAATGAAGTAAAACATCATAATTAGAGACATGAGAATGTCTAGGATCACATGGTGCTATCGACTTGGTATCTGAACAAGAAGCCGTGTTCCTGAAAAACAAAAACTGCTACTGAGCCACAAATGTTCTAAAGAGGTCCCCAGCACCCTTTCAAGGTCGCTTCTCACAGTCACAGCAGACTGTTTCCCTGGAAGGCCAATGAAGTGCGATGGGGCTGATTTTGTGTGGACTGGGCCACTCCCAGGAGAAGGCAGCATCGCACACCTTTGCAACAACAATAAAAAGCACCATTTATTGAATGTTTACTATGCACCAGGCCCTGTGATTGCAGCAGCCCCACAGACCTGGTGTTATTATTATCCTCCTTTCAGAGATGCAGATAACAAGGCTAAGGTTAAAAACTAGATCAAAATCACACACATAATAAGTAGTGTTATATGAATTCACAGATTTCCCCTCAGATGACAGCCATTAATGACACATGAATACAGGTAAAGAAACGTGTGATCGAGAATTGAAGCATATATTACACAAAAATACAACCAAGTTAATTCTTTAATTACCGTACAAATGGCGATCACTTGTTTCTTTGATCTGGTCTCCTTGGTACAGAAATCTCTTTGCTCACCGACTCCACGCAGCGTGCTTAGACGTCACAGCGTGTAAAGCGTACATCTAGCGCTGGAGCAGACGCCAGCCCCCTCAGTGCGGTTAACGCGCTGCGCGTCCGCGCTGCAAGGCACGCCTCCATGTCACTTACAGACTATGTATGCTTCACGTTGGAACACACGTGAACTCTGCCTGAGTTTCCTCAGCTGTAAAACGAAGGCAAGGCCGTAATTCCTAAAGTCTTTTCCAGATTGAGATTTTGCAATGATGAAAGCATTTGCTCACTGCGGCACCTGATCCTGCCTTGGGGAGAGGGAGGCAACGGTTCCCCAATACGGCGCGTGCTGGGCGGGCAGGCATCGGGGTCCTCGGACACGGGGCATCGGCCGGGCCGTGCTGCTCTGTGACACAGGCATGTGGCGGCTCCGCCTCCTGTGCCATCCGGAGGAGGGCACGCCCTCCTCTCTGAGATTCTGCGGTTCTCAAGCCTGTGATCTCGTGGCCACGCTGTGCACCTCACCTGTACAGGTCAGCACCTCAAAGACACGCTCCCAGGGACTCATCTCCCACATCAATCACTGTCTCCAGCTATTTCCCCCTCATCAAGACAAGCTCATGTCCTCAGCGTCCCTGCGAGTAAACTATGTCCTTAGACTTAAAGGTGATTTTTCTCCCACCTTGCAATGTGAAAGCTAAGGCACCGGGGAATAAATGAACTTGAACACAGTCACCCAGCCCTGGATAGGAACCCGGCTCTGAAGCTCCTGCTGTCTCCACCGCCCAGAATCACTCAACTCACCTCTCCCATCACAGGCCCTCCGAAATGCGGTTCCCGGCACCTGCAGAAACACGCGGACTCTGCAGCGGGGACTCACCGTACGTGAAATACTGTATTTCCGGGGGGAGGGTGGCTTCACTCAGGTCGCTCTCTTGGACGTAGCTGTCCACGTACTGCTGTGCTTTCGTTGCCTGGAGGAAAGCCAGGAACCTGGCCGTGAACGCAGCGATGAAGATGGAGAGCATCCCGAAGTCCAGCACGTTCCAGAGCTGCACGATGTATTCCCTCGGGCCTTCCAGCCAGAGCTCCTTGCACTCGGACCACATCATTCCTGCCACGACACACGGGGGACCTGGAGGTTTGCAGCTCAGCCTGAGACGTTCCTATTGGGCCCCCACCAGCCCCATCTCTGCACATGCCCCATCTGTAAAGCACCGTGCTGGGTACCACAGAGCGGACTGCTTAGCTCACCCGGAAGAGGTAATGGAAGAGGAAGGTCCCCCGGGAATGACTCACTCCGCCAAGTTAGGATTCGGTGAAACACACCTCCACTCGCGGGCCCAGCAACGCTGCCACTCAGAGAGAGGGGCCAGGGCCAGGAGGAGGAAACACCAGGAAGGCTCCCCAAGACATAGATTTTACAACAGGAGAATTTTGAAGGAGTAAGAATTCATCTTTATAAAACGACATTGGTTCATTACAGAGCCCTAGTCATTAGGAGAGAAATAGCCCCAAGTGAGCGTTGTCCTGTAGACTTTTAATAAGAACAGCTTCCCTCCCACCTGCCTAGCCGGTCTGACTCAGCAGAAAGAGCTTCGGCCTGCGAACTGATGGGTCCCAGGTTCGATTCCAGTGCAGAGCATGGACCTCGGTTGCAGGCTTGACCACTGGTCCTGGTCTAGGTGTGTGCGAAGGCAACCAACTGACGGGAAAATACCCTTAGGTGAGGATTCACAACAAAAGAACAGCTTCCCTATCATGCCCCCCTCACTCCCTACCCCTTTCAGCTCCATGCTGGGGAGGGGGTGTCGCTGGGGAACCAATCCCTTCAGCAGGGAGCCCAGAGGCTATGAGGAAACTAATGGCAGAAAAGGCTGCCCGGGAACAGAGGGCACACCACTCCTTGCCTTGACGATGTAAGGGGAAATCACTGTGGAATTTTTAAAAGAAACTCAATGGCTCAAAATAAAATGTCTAAAAAAAATGACTTGTCCCAGATCGAGGCCACAGGAGTGAATGAGAGGAAGGAAGCAACCTATTAAATCAGGAACTGAGGTGACACCAGGAAACTGCTGGAGAAAATAGAAAGGACACATGAAAAGGACTTGGGATTAGCAATCAATAGATAAATTTGCTCCAATATCCGTTGTTTCTCACATTGCCTAAAATTTTTACTTTAAGAGCTAGCTATTCCAAACGGGCTCTTGTGAGACAAAATAACTGCATTCTGAAAATGGACTCTCCTATCAGCTCTAAAACAGAAATGGTATCAATGTTTTTCAGCGTCAGCTGATAGCCACCTGGTGATGCCACAAGAATTTCAGTGAAATATTTGATCATTACAGTGAGTCACATTTAAAAACCTTCATTTTGTTCAATAATCAAAGTTAGATTTCAGGAACACAGTATATTAATATTTTTATGTTACTCATAAACATTTAAAATTTAGTATTAGGATAATTGGTAGCATTATAAAAATGTTAAGTTATAAGATTATGTTGCTATTCTGCTACTCTAACAACGGTGATACTGCCACCATATATGTAAAATAAAATTTTAAATGGAAAATGACATTGGGGTGGTGAACACACAGTACAATATACAGATGTGTTATAGAATTGTATACCTGAAACCTGTATCATTTTATTAACCAACGTCACCCCAATAAATTCAATTAAAAAAAAGAGAGAAAATGATGATCATTATGCAGACATCGGTTTTTGTTTTTGGTTAATCCTCACCCCAAGAATATTTTTTCCATTGATTTCTTTTTTTTAAGAGGAAGTGGAAGGGAGGGCGGGGAAGAGACAGAGAAACATCCATGTGAGAGAGGCACATTGGTTGGTAGCCTCCCGCACATGCCCTGGACCAGGTTTCTAACCTGAGACCCTCTGCTGCTTGGGCTTGTGCTCTAACCACTGAACACACCAGCCAAGGCTAGACATTGTTTTTGATAGCAATCAGAGCACTTGAAATCCCAGGCTTACCAAGGACCCAAACCATTATTAGCATCTCGGTCCACGTGAACTGGGTGGTCTTGACCCTGAAGATCTGCTTGGGGTAGTCGAGGACTGTGATGTTGGGCAGCGTGCTGACGCCTTCGAACCTGTCTGAGGCGTTGAACACAAGCAGGCCCAGGAAGAGGATGAAAGAAGCCGCATGCGCCACGAACTTCATGAAGGGGCTGCGCAGGACCTTCCCCAGCTGCAGTGAAACAAAAGCAAATAAAATAAAGTTTACTTTTGCAAATCTGGCTCCTACTTTTGAAAGTTACTACACAGGGTAAGGAAACCCAACAGATGAAATGAGAACTTTCAAAGCTTTGTTTCTTTTTCTGAAAATCTCTGTTATAAAAATGACTTCTTTTCGGGGATGCTTCCTCCAAAAAATAACTTAAGAAGTCTTCAAACTTCAGTTTCTAAACATCCAATTTGCCTTAGGATCAACCACATTCACAGGTGCATTTCTGAAGTCATAGGGCACACCCTGGTGATTCTTTTTTTTTTTTTTTTAATATATTTTATTAATTTTTTACAGAGAGGAAGGGAGAGAGATAGAGAGCTAGAAATGTCGATGAGAGAGAAACATCGACCAGCTGCCTCTTGCACACCCCCTACCGGGGATGTGCCCGCAACCAACGTACATGCCCTTGACCAGAATCGAACTTGGGACCTTTCAGTCTGCAGACCGAGGCTCTACCACTGAGCCAAACCGGTTTTGGCACCCTGGTGATTCTTATTTTTACATTGAGAGACTATGTTGTGCCAAGGTTCTCAGAGTCCTGGAAAAGCAGTCCCAGGTTTGTAGTGTGAATCCTTTACTGCTGTATCATTGGAATGTTATGATAAATTTGTAGATAAATTCGTTCATTTACAACTGAAATGTTATGATGTATCTGTAGCACATTAATAACACTTGGAAGATTAAAAAGAAATCTTACTATTGCAGAAGTAAATTTTAGTACTCTTTTCTAAATATTCCAAAATCAAGTTGTGCTTCATATGATAGAAAAAAAAGGCAAAAAATGTTCTAATCAGGATAAATGTTTTATCTGTTACTATCCCAATTAGAAGAGGGAGAAACAAATAATTAACCCTCTAAGTAGGTTAATTTAAGTGAAAGTCACCCACCCTCGAGTTGGAAAATCATATAAATAGTACAAGAGCACCTTACAGTTCAGTTTATAATTAAGGTCCATCCTTTCAGATCCCACGTGACAGGATGTCCTCAGGAGCCCCGTGTTCTGGGAGAAATGAAAACATTCCTCCTGTGCCCAGGGCTTCCGAGGTCCAAGGACTGGGTACTTTCAGTAGGTTTATCAAATAAGTTCTCCATCCTGCACACTCAAACCCCAGGGTTCAACTCAGTCCATGGCCTCAGAAAGCCCCAAGGTTCACATTGAAAGGACCGCAAACTCAAACAGATGTTTTCGTACATCCACGTCCTTAACGTGACATCAACAAATAACCAAGGGCTGTCAAGTGCTTCTGGGACCTACCAGGAAGGCATGCAGACCAACGCCACGTTTTCTACTGGAAAATGAACACGACTCTCACATCACTATGCTTCTGGGCAGGTGTGCATTGGCGGGGGTGGGGGGGGGGAGGGTATACTGCTCATTTCCTTGGGAATTGCCAAGTCTCCAAAAGGTTAGTCTTTAAAGACTTCCAATAATATGAAAGGGAAGCAGCCTGCCTGTACTGCAAATGGGATGTGTGCAGAGAATTCTTGCCAGGCTGTCTTTTCACCATCAGGTAGATGGTATGTGGCAGGTATAAAAGTGGGTAGGGACCACACTGTCCCTTCCCCTCCCCTTTCCTCCCCTCCCTGCTGGGCAGCGTTCCCACTCAGGAAGCTGGGTTTCTATGAGTGAAGAGGAAAAGGGGAGTGGACTGAGGGCGCCCACTCAGACTTGATGCAAGTTCCCACGATCAAGACGCCCTGAGGGACAAGCACGTATAAACCTGAGCTCCAGTTCCTTTGCCCCAGAAAGGGAAGCTATTTGGGTGGGATGTGACTTTTGCTTTAAGGCATGCTCTCTCACAGTATTTATAGTTTTTAGTCTTAAGCGATCATGCATTTGAGAAATCGTTTGAGACTTTTCCATGATACATAACCAAGGAACTCGGTCGAGTCACCGAGATACATCAAAATGCAAACTTTCCACCCTGAATTGCACGGGCAGCTCCAGCAGGAGTGAGATGGATGGATACCTCGTGCATAGATGGTGCCCACAGAGCAGGACTCTGCCGGGGGGCTGCTGAGCCAGATGGATGACGGATATCCAGGGTCACTCGTAAGTGGCCTTGACTCATTTTGCCTGAAACTGCCTCTGATTTAAACAAAACCAGATTTGGGAATGTAAAAACAGGATTAGGGATCTCAGAACAGCACTTGTCCCTGGCAGTGCCCTCTATGCGCCTAACGCAGATTCGGTAAGCTGCCTAGCTCTCCTTCCCCGTCTGGCTCAGTGGTCCCCTCAGGCACAGTCAGGTGAGCTCCACACTGGCAGTGGAGAGAGGGAGAAAAGTCGTGAACTAAATGATTCAAGCAAAATAAAAGACCATAAAAAATTGCGAAGCCCCCACGCCCCAATGCTACGTTGGTCCTCCCTCTGAAGACCGAAGAGCGTGGGGAACCTGACGTGCACTTTCTTGGACTCTGGATAACACCGCATTGGCAAATGGGCGAAATACACTCAGCCACGTGGCATGGACAGGTCCAGGGGAGCGCTGCCGGCTGTCAGGCTGGTGGGTCATGGTCCCCCTGCGGCAGGGCCACTCTCTGGCCACCCACAGCTGGCCCCGCAGCTCCCTATGGATTAAGCTGCCAACAGAATGAGAACATCCGCAGCTTCACCCGGCAGCAATTTTATCTTAAAAGCCAAAGCATCATGTGCCTGCAAGGCCATCTATCCCGCTGCACCAATCCTCTCTCATCCCCTGTTAGAACTGCCCCCATCACTCAAAAGCAGCATTCCTGTTCCTGAGGCAATTAACACTCGGATGAAACTGACAAGAGCCTTAAGGAGGAAGCTTTTTCCTTCCAGGAGGACATGGCACACCAACCACAGAGAAAACGTGTCGGAGAGCTGTACCTGGCTGCACGGTGCGATCCAGTAGCCTATGGCAAGGAACGGGAGGCCCAAGGCCACCACCAGCACCACCAGACACTTGATGGCTATGGTCTGTTCCCGCAGTCCTGAGAGGTTCTCGTACCAGATGGTGAGGAGCTGCTGCTGGCAGTTGGGGTGAGCCACAAACTAGGGGAAGAGAAAGGGAGGTGGGTTACCATACATTGTCCACAGTGCAACTGCTGAGGTTAACGTTAACACCCTAGATATGGGTACACATGTGCCCACAATGTACGCACTGCAGGGCTCAGGGCCCATTCCCGTTCCACTTCATAATGGCTTTTCCAAATTGCTCTAGGACTAACAGCAGAGCCACAGTGGAAACAGGAGGGTAAAGCAGATATTGCCCTGGCCACAGTTCTTTCCAGGTGGAGCTCTCCATCATGCAGGCGCCTCTCTGGAGCCAGGTGGCATATTTCCTCCGTGGACAGGCGGCCCTGTTGCTGCCTGCCGGCCTACCTGCATTCAGCTCCGATGGAAAAGAAGCAGGGACTTGGTTTATTGCAGACTATAGGCAAAAGAGAACAGGCTACGTTTCACAAACCGCTCCGAAATGCTACTCGTGGGAAAATATATTCATGATGTGGCCTACATGTACGTATGCATGACCACTGCAAATCTGCAAATCTGCAAAAGATTTGCGAGATATAGGTGAACCTGCAGGTGCTATGCTCGGTGCGCGATGTATGGGGGTCCAGGAGCTGGCGCAAATGTCACACCTATGCGGTAATTTGTCCTCTTTTTATGGCTTCCTCTCTCAGAGTTTAGGGATTCCCTCCCCCCCAAACATTTATCTCCTGTAGCAATTTTATAATTTTCATCAGGAAAAGTGAGCACCTTATACCAACTTCATCCCTGCTGTCATGTTTTGTTCTGCCACCTGGCTCTGCCAAGCCACCTGTCTGCATCTCTCTGGAAGGACCGGCACTCCTTTAAGGCCCCGTCCTTTCTCAGGGAGCAGAATGGACATGTCATCAGGCTGATGCCAAAGGGGCCCTTTGGAACTGAGTCAGTTTCTCTGAATGGCCAGGTGCATTTGCTCAGGCTCAGGACTTATTCAGGTTCATTCACAAGTCAACTATAAGTGCCAACATATTTTTATTTATTTTTTATTTATTTTTGTATTGATTTGGGAGAGAGAGAGAGAAAAAAACAACAACACATCAATGATGAGAAAGAATCATCAATGGGCTGCCTCCTGCACACCCCCTAAAAGGGATTGAACCCGCAACCTGGGCATGTGCCCTTGACTGGAATCGAACCCAGGACCGTTCAGTCCGCAGGATGATGCTCTCTATCCAGAGTCAAACCACCTAGGGCAAGTGCCAACATATTTTTAAAAAGAGTCTTTAGCACTACTAAAGTCAAAGTACTGCTGTCTTCTACAAAACAGAATAAACAATAAGTTAACCAGGTAGGAGGCATCCTTGAGATGTTTTTGCGAAATATGAGAGGAAAAGGGAGCAGTCGCAGTCCCCACCGGGCAGAGGACTCATCTCTGATCAAGTCCTAGTTCCCAATCCTAAAGCTCTAGGTAATTCCAACGTTATTTCACTATTTATCAAGAGCACGCCTACAGGGCAATGAAGAGGTTTCCACTTCCTGGTTTATAGTATCTTTTCATTAAAAAAAAATAAAACCTCATCCCTCAGGGTGGGCAGTCGAGGCACAATTTCCTCCAGACCTCCTCTTGCCCTCTGGCAGCAGCCACAGTGTCTTTTTGCAGGGGAGACAGATGTGGTTGACAGATGTGGTTGAGGATGAGTCTCCAAATACTAGATTTGAGATACCTTCTGAATTTTTTTCAGTAATACAAACTGGTAGGGTTTGGGAGAGTCAGAAGTATGAAAAAGAAGATGCTATCTTTTCTTGTTGATGAGCTCAATGCGAAAAAGAGTATTTGAACCTTCCGTTCCTTTTCATTCACTTATAAAAATCCCAGGTCCCAAGGGTCAGTGGGCACTGCTGGCCATGAAGTAAAGACCTTCTTTCCAAACTCAAGATCTGTCACTTTCCAACGTTCTGATTTTTGAAAACAGTATTTCAAGGTTAATGCAGACATTATTTGAACTCATGATACATGTGTGGATATATTCAAGGTGGATGGCTTCTGGAGATCTCTGTGGCAATTTCCTAGGATTCCTGAGAACTCCAAATTTCCACTTCTTCCCTGTGTCTGAGCATCACTTCCTTTCTGCTTCACCCCTCCTTCTATCTGAGAAATCCTCATCCCCTCTACAGCCCCTATCTATCTCATTCACTCACTCACTCACTCACTCACTTGTTGCCCTCTGGCAGCAGCCACAGTGTCTTTTTGCAGGGGAGACAGATGTGGTTGACAGATGTGGTTGAGGATGAGTCTCCAAATACTAGATTTGAGATACCTTCTGAATTTTTTTCAGTAATACAAACTGGTAGGGTTTGGGAGAGTCAGAAGTATGAAAAAGAAGATGCTATCTTTTCTTGTTGATGAGCTCAATGCTCACCCTTCAACAAGTCTTAAGTCCCTCCCATGAGCTTAGGCCTTTGGTAAAAGGAGATGAAATGAAAGCATTCAGCATTGGCTTAAGTGAAGAGTGCTCCTGATCTGCGGTACACAGCAAGCTATCAATAAATGTGAGAAAATCTGAGATTAAAAATGGCGGTGGAATAAGTAGATGCTACACAGACACTCCTAGGACCAAACTGAACTGCAACTAAAATACAAAAAACAAAACAAAAAAAAAACACACACACACAAACACCATCTTGAATAATCAACTGAAGATTAGTTAGAGAGAACCTTGATAACCATGGACTGAAAGTGGAGACTGCATAGAGACTGGTAGGAGGAGCAGAGGCGTGAAAGCGGCTGGCTGGGTTCAACAAACAGCAACTGAAGTTCTGGAGAGATATCTCAGTTGTGGATGTTCCACTGAGAACTCTGGGGTCTAATCTGCAAGTTGGGCCCCCCAGCAGAGAACATCAGAATTGAGAAGAGTAGGCACACAATATCTGGCTGTGTAAAATAGAACACAGGGTTGTTGTCTGCCAGGGAGAGGAATGGCTAGAAATTCAGGCATCCTCTTAAAGGGCTAATACACTAAAATTTCTGTGCAGCCACCCACCTTGTACTCTAGCAGAGGGAGGGCAGAGTGGACTGGAGCTGTGTGAGAAGCCAGGGTTGGGGGCTCTGGAGTTAGAGCTTGGAAAGCAGACACCCCAGTTTCCTGGGCTGAATCATTCCCTCAAGCTAGGGAGGTCATCTTTCTCATGCAGACCTTTGCTATGCAGATGGTTTTTGCCTAGGGGGAATGTAGTTGCCCCACCCTATTAGAAAACACCTTGCCCTAGGACTTGGAGTTTCTGAGGCCTTTAAAGAGACTGAGAATAACAGCCTCCAGGCAGAAGCAATTGTCCGACCCTGTTGAAAAACACTCTTCCCACACCTGTGGACGATTACCTGAGGGTAACTCAAGACACAATTCTATCAGTCTATAGATAGAGGTGATCTCTGGAGGCTTTGAGTCTTTGCCTGACCAAATTAGTCAAAAGCGGTATTTGACACTGTCCTGTAATAGAGATTGAGATGGATAGCAGACCTACCTATTAAATAAATGTGAGGAAAGCTATTAGAACGGAGACCTGGACTCATGTTTGTCAAGATAAATAGCATTTAACAGTCTTAATTTGAATGTTGGTCCAAATGACTTGGTGTTTAGAGGGTCTGCATTTGTGGGAAGTTGGATGGGTGCAAATAAAAGGCAGGCCTGTGACTGCAGCCAGGCTTGGCTTGGCATGGGGAGTGGTGTATCCTGGGAAATCCACAGGTACAGGTGGTGATGTCAGCAGATCAGATCACCGCTTGGGAAGCACTTTTTTGTAGGCAGAGGATTTGATCAAGTCAGAAAATGCCTACGAAGTTAACAAACAGGTGAAATGTCCATACGGAATTGGTGGACAAATGTCTCACTTACAAGTGTCCTTGAATTCTCAAAGGTCTTTCATAACTTTTGAACACTTGAGGACAGAAGTACTCATGTTGTAGTATGGCTCCCTCTTCCTACTCCTCCTCCTCCAACTGCTCTTTAAATTTGAAGATGTGCTTTATGGCATTAATTATACTGTATAAGGTTGCATAGCCTCAAAGACTTGATGGAAATCCATCCTTTCCATGTGGCACAAGAGGGTGATCCATCTTTGACTCACCGTGACTTGTTCACATAGTGCAGATCTATGTTAAATATGATGTTTCACCTTGTCACACTTTACTCTTCAGCTGAATAGGTATTCTTCCTATACTACTAATTTTCCCCTCTTCTTAATTGAGATAATAAACATCACCGTATGGCATCTGTTGACTTCCCCTCCCCCGGCCCCCATTTATTTTTAGTGTTTGTGGAAGGGAGGGGTAGAGACACAAAAAGATAAAAACATCAATGTGAGAAAGACACATTGATTGGTTGCCTCCTGTACATGCCTCACCCGGGGCCAGGATTGAGCCTGCCCTTGAACAAAGGTACATGCTCTTGAACAGAATCAAACTTGAGACCCTTCAGTCAGTGGGCCAAGGCTCTGTGGGCCAACGTTCCAACCACTGAGCAAAATCAGCCAGGGCTGTTGACTTCTTTTAATCCATGGAAAAAATGCAAATATTTTCCCCCAGTGATTTTAAATCCTAACACAGGCACACAGGACCATTTAAAAAATAAAATGAAACTGATGCAACAGTAGTAAGTTGAGGCAGAAAAGCTAATCCCTCTCGGAGATGAGTTTTCTCTTTTTAATGACTTCAACACAGGGCAGTGACCTTTATCTCTGAACTGTTTTACGTCCTAAAGCACCCCTGTCACTGCCTGCCAGTCCTAGTGGCTGGAGAGAATGCGTATGCTGGTTCCTAATGCCAGTGGACCAGCAAATTGAAACCATTCCAAAAATAATACCCTTATTCGAGGTTTCCTGATTTAAAGGAAGAATGATTGACACATAAGAAAATCCCAGTCTTTTCATGGAACAAAAGGACTGTAGCATTGACAAAACACCTTTTTCCTGCCAAGTTGACTAATAGGTTGTAAACTGAACCCCCATTCATGGCAGACTATTAAGAAAAAATTCATGTTACACTATGTTTTCATAAAATCCGCCTTTCC